CTTACAAAGTGCACTCATTTTATTTAAGGCTGATGATTTTTAAAAATAATTTCATACAAAGAGGAGAAATAATAACTGACACCACAGAAATACAGAGGATCATTAAAAATATTATGAACAATTATATGGCAACAAATTCGACAATCTGAGTGAAATGGGCAAATTTCTAGAAACACATAGTCTCCCAAAACTGAACCGGGAAGAGATAGAAACCTTGAACAGATCAATAACAACAAAAGAAATTGAAGATGTAATCAAGACTCTCCCAGCAAACAAAAGCCCAGGCCCAGACAGCTTCACAGGGGAATTTTACCAAACATTCAAAGAAGAACTAATACCCATTCTAAAAAAATTTCAAGAAGGAAGACATCCAAACTCCTTCTATGAGGCCAGCATAATTCTAATTCCAAAACCAGAAAAAGACACTACAAAGAAAGAAAACTACAGACCAATATCCCCGATGAACATAGACACCAAAATCTTGAACAAAAAACTAGCAAATCAGATCCAGCAATACATCAAAAAAATTATTTACCATGACCAAGTAGGATTCATCCCAGGGATGCAAGGCTGGTACAATATTCGCAAATCAATAAATGTGATACACCACATAAACAAAATGAAAGATAAAGATCATATGATCATAAATAGACTGTGAAAAAGCATTTGACAAAATCCAGCACCCATTTCTGATAAAAACGCTCAGCAATCTGGGAACAGAGAAATCATATCTCAACATAATAAAGGCCATATGTGAAAGACCTACAGCCAACATTATACTCAATGGGAAAAAATTAAAAGCATTTCCCTTAAGAACAAGAACAAGAACAAGACAAAGATGCCCACTTTCTCCACTCTTATTTAACATAGAACTGGAAGTCTTAGCCACAGCAATCAGACAGGAAGAAAAAATAAAAGGGATCCAAATTGGAAAGGAGGACGTGAAACTGTCATTGTTTGCAGATGACATGATACTATACTTAGAAAACCCCAAAGACTCCATCAAAAATTTACTAGACTTAATAAATTTACTAGACTTAATTTGGCAAAGTAGCAGGATACAAAATTAACGTCAAGAAATCAATGGCATTCTTATACACCAATGATGAATGCACAGAAAGAGAAACTGAAAAAAACCAATCCCATTTACCATCACAGCAAAAAAATTAAAATACCTAGGAATAAACTTAACCAAGGAAATAAAGGACCTATTCGCAGAAAACTACAGGTCATTGAATAAAGAAATAGAGGAAGATATAAAAAAGTGGAAGCACATACCCTGTTCATGGATTGGAAGAATTAACATCATTAAAATGTCCATACTACTCAAAGCAATCTATAGATTCAATGCAATCCCCATCAAAATACCAACGACATACTTCACAGAATTAGAACAAGTACTTCAAAAGTTCATATGGAACCAAAAAAGACCTCAAATAACCACAGCAATCTTGAAAAAGAAGAACAAAGTTGGAGGGATCACATTACCAGATTTCAGGTTATACTACAAAGCCACTGTAATCAAAACAGCCTGGTACTGGCACAAGAACAGGCATATAGACCAGTGGAACAGAACAGAGAACCCAGAAATGGACCCAAGACAATATGCTCAATTAATATTTGACAAAGGTGGCAAGAGCATACAGTGGCGTAAAGACAGCCTTTTTAATAAATGGTGTTGGGAAAATTGGACAGCTACATGCAAAAAAATGAAGCTAGACTATCAACTTACACCATACACAAGAATAAACTCAAAATGGATAAAGGACTTAAATGTGACTCAAGAATCCATAAAAATCCAAGAAGAGCCCTGGCCGGTTTGGCTCAGCGGTTGGAGCGTCGGCCTGCGGTACAGAGAGACCCGGGTTCGGTTCCCGCTAAGGGCATGTACCTCGGTTGCAGTTTGTCCCCGGCCCTGGTTGGTCATGCTGGTGGCAGCCACTCGATGTGTCCCTTCACATCGATGTTTCTCTCTCTCTCTCTCTTCCTCTCTCTCCCTCCCGCTCTATCTGAACAAAAAATGGAAAAATGTCCTCGGGTGAGGATAATAAAAAAAAAAAATCCAAGAAGAAAATGTAGGCAACAAAATTTCAGACATCATACGCAGCAGAATTTTCACTGATACATCACCTAAGGCAACAGAAACAAAGGAGAAAATGAACACATGGGACTACATCAAACTCAAAAGCTTCTGCACAGCAAAAGGTATAATCATCAAAATGGGAAGGCTACCCACTGTATGGGAGAGCATAATTGCCAATGATATATCAGATAAGGGGTTAATTTCTAATATATAGAGAGTGCTCATACAACTCCACAAAAGAAAGACAAAGAACCCAATTGAAAAATGGGCAGAGGAACTAAATAGACACCTCTCCAAATAGGACATACAAATGGCTAAGAGACATATAAAGAAATGCTCAACATCACTAATCATTAGAGAGATGCAAATTAAAACAACAATGAGGTATCACCTCACACCTGTCAGAATGGCTGCCATCAACAAATCATCAAACAAGTGCTGGCGAGGGTGTGGAGAAAAGGGGACTCTAGTACAATGCTGGTGGGAATGCAGACTGGTGCAGCCGCTATGGAAAACAATATGGTGTTACCTCAAAAAATTAAAAGCTGAACTGCTATTTAATCCAGTGATCCCACTTCTAGGAATATACCCTAAGAAGCCTGAAACACCAATCAGAAAGAATATATGTACCCCCATGTTCGTAGCAGCACTATTTATAATAGCTAAGATCTGGAAACAGCCCAAATGTCCATCAGTAGATGAATGGATAAAAAAGCAGTGGTACATATACACAATGGAGTACTATGCAGCTGTAAGAAAGAAAGATCTCTTATCCTTTGAGACAACATGGAGGAACCTGGAAAGTATTATCCTAAGTGAAACAAGCCAAACAGAGAAAGACAAGTATCATATGATCTCATTTGTGGAATATAATGAACATAACAGTCTGAGGAATGGGGTAGTCTCAGAGACGTGGAACTGGGGTACAGACTGACAATCCCCAGAAGAGGGGGTGGGGGAGAGATAAACCACAGAACTTATATACATGTATGCATGAACCATGGACATGGACAACAAAGCTGGGGACAGGACAGGGAGGGATCAGTGGCGGGGGGGGGGGGGGAGAAACATCTGTAACAAAAATAAATATATTAAATTTAAAAAGTAATAATTTCATACAAACACTAAAAAATGTTGTGAAAATAATTTTTTAGGTCGGACAAATATTTTAAAAAAGAAAGAAGAATCCAGACACAATAGGCAACTTATTGTATGGTTACTTTTATGTGAAATGCCTAGAATAGGTAAATCGATAGATAGAAAATGATTAGTGATGACCAAGATTGGGGAGAGGATTAGGGGGCCATAGAAGGGTGACTGCTTAATGGATACAAGGATTTCTTTTGGGAGAGGACGTGTTTTGGAACTAGGTGGAGATGGCTGCATGATACTGCGAATGTACTAAATACCAGTGGGTTGTACACTTTAAAATGGTTAATTTTGTACAGATGATGTATTATAGAATTGTACACCTGAAACCTATATAATTTTATTAACCAATGTCATTCCAATAAATTCAATAAAAAAATAAAATGGTTCCTTTGTGCTATGTGAGTATCATTTCAATAAAAATGAGAAAAGCTCACTAGTGTGTGTTCTCCCCAGGGCGACCTGTCCTGCTTATGCTCAGGCCTCAGCTCCTGGGTACAAGGAAAATGTCGAAGGCGACTCTGACCTCTGACTGGGCTATAGGAGCAGCCCCACACTCAGGACATAATGCTCCTTCTCCTTTGGCGACTTTGAACTCGGCATCTAGCTCAGCAGGGCCTGTCACCAGCAGTGGACAAAGGAGCCGGGCAGGATGAGACAGAAAGGATATTGGCTTTGGGCATTGAAGCTGACAGTGTCTCTGCCACACACACTGCCTGCTGTAGACCTCCAGTGACACACCACCCCCTAGATAAACTCCAAGCTGTTAGGGTGACCCACAGGGCCTGTGTCCAGTCCTTGTTGATATTGTGGCCTTCCACGGGCCTCCGAGGCTCCCTCACCCCTGCAGGCCTTCACACACCCAGTAATCCTCTTGGAATGCCCTCCCCCGACTCCCAACCCCCTTCCCCTGTAACCCTCATTGGAACAGGAAGACTCCCCTGACAAGTCCCCCTGACAGGCCTGATGACACACTGGCAGGCAGAGCAGGTGGGCCGCCCAGAGCAGGAAAGTGGGGCACAGACACACACACACACACACACACACACACACACACACCTTCAAAGTTGGCATCTTTGTTCATCTGCTGACTTCCCATTTTAGTGTTATTTTAACCATAACTGCACCTGTGGGGATGATAGGGGAGCCCCAGAATCTCCTCAGCTCATCTGGGCTCTGAAGAGCTAAGTCTGGTTTCCAGCCCCATCCCCACCCCCACCCCAGACAGGGTTGGGTCCCCTCTCTGGGACCCCAGCTCACTGTCCCCAAGCTCATACTGTGTGTCCCGGTTAGTTAACTTTCCCTTGTCCCTCACAAGTGTGTGCCCTTGAGGGCAGGGCCTGGGTCCTGGTCCCTCCTATCCCGGCTGAGCCAGGGGACCCTGGAGGCTAGCAACTACTCAAAGAAAAGTGACCCGAGTTTGGGTCCAGCTCCACCACTCCTGTGGGACCTTGAGCATCCTGACCTCTCTGAGCCTCAGTTGGCTTAACTGTCACATGGAGTCACGTGGAGTCAGACCACCTCCCAGGGCAGGAGGCGATCGCACACGTACAACTGCTTGACAGGGACAGGTACGACCTCCTTACCTGAAAGCAGGGGTCCTTTTGGAAAGGGAGAGAGAGAAGACCTTTGAAATGCGAAGAAGATGCGGGTGGAGACCTTGCCATCCTCACCCCAGACTCTCGCCAGGTCCCGCCCTCTCGCTGTAACCTCCCACACCTCCCCGCCGGTCCGCTCCGCACCCACCCCCAGCCGGGCAGTCTCAGCCGAGCGCCGCGGGGACCAGGTGTCAGGCGCCGAGATGCGGCTGTGGCTCTGGCTGCTCCTCCCCGCCGTGCAGCTGGCAGGTAAGGGGAGAGGGGCGGCCAGGCGGTGGGCTGCGCGCACCCAGCAAGAGCCTGGGCGGGCGTTCGGAAGGGCTGTCCCGCAGGGTGCAGGGTGCAGGGTGCAGGGTGCAGGGTCCAGAGGTGGGGGCTGCGGGGCACCCTGAGGCAGCGGCAGGCAGTCCCTGAGGGCGGAAAGTCCTCCGGGAGCTCATTATCCCAGGGGTCCGAGGCCACCTCTGGGCAAAAGCCTGGAGCTAGAAGAGGAGGCAGGAAGAGAGGAGGGAGGGAGGGGAAAGAAGGAAGGAGGGAGGAAGGAAGAAAAGGGAAAGAGGAGGTGCACTGAGGAAGGAAAAATGCCCTTGCTGGGGACAAGACAGGGATGTGCTCCCAGGAAGGTGCCAGAGGCCCGGTCCTGGTTTGGGTGCCCAACGCTTGGCCCAGGGCTCTGTTAGACACATTTTTATTACTTCCGGGCAAGTGTTGTAGTACAATTTGCCAAATACCAGGCTGTACGGCCTAGTATTCCCCGGGGGGTCTCCTGTCTCCCCAACATTGCCTGGGCTTGGGTGTGCAGTGTAACTCCAGAGACAGGCAGTGTCGGCGTTGGCATGCTGGACATGAAGCGGGTGTCTGGACTGTCCTCTGGCTAAGCCCAGCCAGACTACCTTTCAGAAGAAGTCCCTCTGCCTCCCAAACTGCCCACTAACCTGTGGCCGATGTGCTCTCTTGCCCCAAAGCCCAAAGCTGGGCATCCCGCCAGGGCACGAGGCCAGCCAGCCCAGGCTCTGACCCAGTGAGCTCAACAACACCTGAGGCAGAAGCTCCTCCAGGCCATGCAAAGCTACTGATGTTACTGCGATCGTCTTAGAAACCGCAGGTCCCTCTGAGGATGGAGTCCCTGGGTTACTGAGAGGATGGAAAGAATCCAACGAGGCCACACGTGCCACAAGGCCTGGCTAGGGGTCAGGCACATAGATGGGGTTGGGCCACAGAGGGATGTTCAGTCCCCAGGGGCTGCAAAGCAATGGTCACCAGAGAGAGACCAGGGTGTGTCTCAGCTAGGAAGTCTTCGTGTCAGGACGCAGGAGGGGGAAGGTACACACTGCCTGGTGCCCCTTCTGACCTTTTTGCCCCTGAGGAGTCACTTAGGGGCTTTCTTGGAAGGTCCTCGAGAGTCTGTGTATTTGTGGCCCCACTCTGTGTACACGAGCACATGACCATGAGCCTGGACCCATGTGTAGGTTTTCTCAGTTCAGTGAATGCCTCAAAGCTCGGGCTCTGGGGTTGCAGACTTGGGTTTGAATGTGAATCCACCACATACAGGCTGTGTGACCTTGAACGTGTCTTTTTTTATTTTATTTTATTTTATTTTTGTTACAGATGTTTCTCCTTTTTTTCCCCATTGACACCCTCCTCCCCATCCCCCCCCCCCCCGCCCCATCCCTGGCTTTGTTGTCCATGTCCATTGGTTAAACATGTCTTTAACCTTCCTGAGCCTCTGTTTCCTCGTATATAAAATGGGCGTGAAACAGGATTTGGTGAGGATGAAATGAGATCATTCCAGCACTATGCTTGGCACGATTCAGTAAATATTGGTATTTTCGATTCTTATTATCTCCCCCAAGAGGTCACAGCCCAAAACTCTGCTGAAAAGGCACTATGGCATTCGGGGAGAAAAGCGAAGGCCCAGCAGCCACTTGCGCCCCAGGTACCATTTCATTCTTGGTGCAAGCGGAAGCTCAGAGTGGTCTGTTGGAGTCAGAAAGCCAAAGTGCGTTTCATGGCTGCTGTGGGCCATGGAGCCTGAGAACACATAGGTAGGATTGTGAATCTGGGCCACCACCTGCTAAGCCAGCTCCTCTTGGGTACACACACACACACACACCATTCTCTGGCTGTTCTGCTCACGAAGGTCTGTGCCACACTGCTCCTGGGTCTGCCCTGGCCGGCCTGCTGTCTGTCCCTCCACCCGACAGCTGAAAGGAAGGACTCGCTAAGGCAGATTCACTCTGTAGGACTTCACTGCAAAAGACCCATTCATTCTAACCCTTCTCCTTAAGATTTAACTTGCTGCCGTAACAACCCCTGATATGTGAGACACATGGACAGTGATTTACCCGTGTACGATACTTTACAGTTTGCTTTCTTGGACACACTAACCCTCAGAGGCAGTCAAGCCAATGGCCTTAAGCTGCCTTCTTTTTACTTTTTATTTTTTTAAGGAAACAAGGATTTTATTTTATTTATATATATTTATTTATTTAAGATAGAGTGCAAGGGAGGGAGAAACATCCATGTGAGAGAGGCACATCTATTGGTTGCCTCCCACATGATCCTGACTGGGGCTGGGGATCAAACTTGCAACCCAGGTACATGCCCTTGACCGGGAATCGAACCTGAGACCCTTTAGTCCAAGGGCTGACACTCTAACCCCTGAGCCAAAGCGGTCAGGGCTAAGCCACCCTCTTTGTAAAGAGAAGAGTCAGGGCCCATGACTTGCCTGAGGTTCCACAACTGGCGCAGGGCAGAGGCCGGGTTCAAGGCCAGGTCTGTGAGTTTGGCTCCAGTGCACAGTCCCCTCCTTACAGTGCGTCCTGTCTGAGACTAAAATGAACTCCCGGCCCTGCTTCTGGGGTGTCTGTCCTTCCGCTCAGGAGGGGGTCCAGTGACCTGTCAATGGCTTGGGGTGGGGAGTGATGGTCATTACTGTGCCTACCGGGGGACAGCAAGTGCCTCTTGCTGCCTGTCATCCATGTCCACAAACAGTGGCTGGGCCTCTGTTGGGTCGGCCAGCCCCGCCCAGTGCCCCGCCTGTGATGCGGAGCTCCTGGCCCAGCTGGCCCTGGCTCGCCTTCAGCCCTGAAGCTTGAAGAAGTTGTACATTGAGTTGCAGCCGGGCAAGGCGAAGGCACTAACTCAGACTGGATCTTCGAGTTTTGTTTTTTTTAATCTTCACCCAAGGATATGTTTAGAGAGAGGAAGGAAGGGAGAGAGAGAAACATTGATGTGAGATTGACTTATCAATCGGTTGCCTCCTGTACCCACCATGACCGGGGAACGAACCCACAACCTAGCTATGTGCCCTGACTGGGAATCGAACCCGAAACGTTAGTTGAGATGACACGCCAACCAACTGAAGCACCTGGCCGGGGCGAATCTTTGAGTTTGAATCCCAGGTCACTTGCCAGCTGTAAGTGGGATTTTGAACAAATAACTTCATGCCTCCGTCCGTTTCCTCATCCGTGTAATGGGAATAAAAATCCCAAAGTAAGTTTGAGGCTTGATTGAGATAATTATGCAAACAACCAGCCTTCTAAGCATCCAGTCAACAAACGGCAGCTCTCTCCCTGTCCCCTTTGCGAAGCTGGACAGAATACACACCTGCTGGCAGGTGATCCCTGGGAGGCGTGGTGCTCGAACCCTAGAGTCCAGGAAGAGCTGCATTTACAACAGCCTCCAGACCCTGCAACTGGGCAGGTTCTTCCATGGCTTTTCCTCTAACACTCGATTCGGGGTGACCCCGGGGTCCCACCACTGTGGCCAGGACAATGTGCTGATGGGCTCTGCTCCATCTGTTTCTCATAGCTCTCCTTGGCAGCTCCACACTCCATCAGACTCCTCAGTACCTCGTGGTTCAGACCAACACAGTGGTGCCACTAGTCTGTGACGCCAAAGCCTCCTCCACCAGCACGTCCATCTACTGGCTGAAGCAGCCCCAGGACCCCAGCATGCACAGTCACCATGAGTTCCTGGCCGTCGTGGATTCTACCAAAAAGACTGTGTACGGCAAGGACGTGAAGCAGGAGAGGCTAACTGTGCGTCAGGAGGGAACCCAGTCCATCCTCAATCTCACAAGTGTGAAGCCTGCAGACAGTGGTGTCTACTTCTGCCTGACCATTGGGACCCCCAAGCTGACCTTCGGGACGGGAACTCAGCTGCGTGTGGGTAAGACCTTGGCTCAGTGTTATCAATAGCACTGAGCACCTACTGTGTGTCAGGCATGTGTCAGACATGGGGGCTACCCCCACTCTCAGCGAGCCCAACTGTACTGGGGGGATGATGGCCATGAGCAGTAACACTATGGCTAGTGGTCACAGAAAATATATTCTGCGACTTCCCCAGGGTCAAGCACGTGCAGCTGTTTTGCATAGTTATCTCCCTTAATGCTGCCAGCCATCCCAGAAGGTAGGCACTATTATGATTCCAACTGAAAATGAGATGCTTAGAAGCATCGCTGCTCCTTATGGGGACAGAACAGTGCCGTCCTTGAGCCATATCAGGCCATCTGAGGCTGTGGCTGGATTGGCTGAGTCCCCAGGCCTGATGATGGTCTCAGAAATCCCCTCCAAATGTGCACACAGGCAGGGGAGAGGCAGGTGCCCTCACATTCTGCATGAGAGCCTATAGCTCGAACCCACACTCAGAGTTGCAGGGAATGAGGAGACTGGACCCCAAGCCCATCTGCAAATTCTGCTGCAAATATACTGTGTGTCTTTGGGCGAGTCCCTCCCCGCTCGCTGGGCCTCAGTGTTCCCATCTGTATCATGGGGTTGCTGATGGCCTCCACGACCACCTCTAGTCTCAGAAGCTACGGTTCCTCACGAGTTAAGTCAGCACATCCAGTGGAAATATATTGTGAGCCACAGACGTCATTTTAAAATTTCTGATAGCCACGTTAAAAAAAAAGTTAAAAAGAACACATGACATTAATTTTTAAAATGTATTTTATTTAACCCAATTTATCAACAGGGTCACTTCACAATGTCATCAAGGTAAAATTATTACGAAAATATTTTACATTCCCCTTTCATAGCAAGCATTGCATGTGTGTTTTACAGCGGAGCCCATCTTGGGTCAGACTGGCCATGTGCGTGTGGCAGGTGGCTGCCGTACTGGACAGTGACAACGCTGTCAAAGTGCAAAGGAATCAGAGGCAGAAATTCTCAAAGGCCCACGTCTGACGTTAGCCCCCTCAGGTTAGCCCATGGCCAGAGCCAACCCCCAAAAGCCTCCCGCGGCTCTGTTTCCCACTACCTGGGTTCCCACACTGGGGCACTGAGAGTACCCAGGGGGCCTCCCGGAATCAGACGTCTCAGCATGCGCTGTGCAGAGACGGCTGGGACGGCAGCACCATTAGGAAGACAGAAATCAGAGGGATGCCCCCCTTTGTCAGGACTCACCAGCCTCCTCTCCTGCCTTGAATGAGGAGGTGGGGGAGGGAGGAGATCTCTGGGCAAGGAGCTGAGCATGCTTTGGGGTTATTCACGGATTCCTGTATTGAAACCTAGGGTTAGTGGGTTGGGGGTTTGGGTTTGGTTTGCTGTTTTTGTCTCTGTAAGTCCCACGTCTTTCCATTCATGCAATTTCAGGGTCTGAGAACGGCGGGTGGTTTTCAGAAGCGTCCGACCTCCACCCCCTCGCTCTTGGTTTTGACATTTCCAAAGCTCTCCGGCTGCAGGCTCCCAGGAACGGCAGGGCCTCCCCAGAGCATGTGCTCGCACCCGTGTCATCTCCCAGGGGCCGGGGACCCAGGGCCAGAGCCCGTCCTCCTGCCAGAAAGTCAGTGCATTTTGAAGGAGGAAGCGGGTGGTAGAGAAACCATTCGGGAGGAGACGGGGCGTAAGCACACCGTGGGTTCAAAGGCCTGTCCCTTTCAGAGAGGAAAGGAGGAGATTTGAACTGGGAGGGAGTGTCAGGAGGAAGCAAGAGGACCTGGTTCTGGGCAAGAAGAAATTAAAATGGAACAAGCCTGTCCATGGCCCCTCACCTGTGCCCAGCAAGGCGCTGGGGTCCTGCCGAGCGGCTCCCCTGCCCGCTCACCATGCCTGCGGAGCGCCCTCTGGTCTCCCCGTGTACGACCTAATGAGCACGTCTAGGGCCTTGACGGTGGAGGAGCTAACAGAACGCTGGGCACCCCTCGCAGGGCCCAGGCTCCCCGCACACCCTCCGGGCACTGGAGCTGATGGTGTTTTTCCTTTTACCCCGGTTTCCCCGGCACGCTGATGAGCAGGGCCCGGGTCACCCGATGCGGTTCACTTGTCTGTGAGAAAGCATTTGCACGGGCGGGCATGTGGCACCGTGAGAGTCTGGGAGCGGAGTCTGTTGACTCAGATCCTGGCTCTGCTGTTCACTGTCTCTCGATCTTTGGGCGAGTTATTTCGGCCCCCTGTGCCTGGGCTTCTCGGGGACAGAATGGGGACAGAGTGCCCGTCCCAAAGCTAGTGGGTTTGATCACCTCCAGCTGACGTGCTCCGTGCTGCCACTAGCACCCGGTAGAAGCTCAGGAAGTGTTCCTTCCAGTTCGTTCTTCTTCTCGAAACTTCCTGGAGCCGGCAGAGCAGAGGAGGCACAGGTGGGGAGGGTCCGAAGCGTCCACGTTGTGTATGGAAGAAGCCAGCCCCACAGTGCCCAATTTGCTGGCTGCTCCTCCCTGCCCCTTATCTCTAGAGTTTAAGTTCATGGTGACCCTATTCCCTCTCCTCTCGTTTTCGAGAAAAATCGGCTCCGTGAAATGCCTTTCCTCAGCCCGCACAGGCGAAGGCTGGACTCGGGGCACCCGGCGCTCACACCGTTTCTCCGCCCTCGGCTCCCTTTGCTCCCCGCCCTTGTCCCCCTGCTTTATCCCAACACTTTAGCGGGTGACAATGAATTAGAACAAAAACAGGGGAGTGACCCACCCACCCAGGAGTCAGGAGAGGAGTTTGGGGTCCTTTCCACCAAGGGCCCTGGGGGCCAGCGCCTCCCCTTAATGTCGCTGGTGTTGGCCTTTGAAATGAAAGGTTGAGACTGGGCTACAGGTCCCGCTGGCTCTGACGGTATATGTTTTTTTAAGACACCCGAGAAGGAAAGATAATCCCAAAGTATACAACCTGCATGGCGCTGAACATGCGGGAAAAGACACCCACCCCCTTTCCACAGCATCCTGCGGTCGCCAGGGGCTGGCAGGGCTCGGGGACCCTGGCTTCAGCCAGGGGGAGCCTTGCCTACTGCACACTGTGCTGGGCACTCGGCCCCTTTAATTCTCACAACCCCAAGAAGGTCGTGGAGACCATCTTTAGTTCAGCAGACGGGGAGACTGAGGCACAGAAAAGTGACAGAACTTGCCCCAGGTCACGCAGTGGTTGGTCAGTGGCGCTGGGGCTCAGTTCAGGGCTGTAGCTCCAGAGCCCCTCTCTCTCCAGGGCACCAAGCTGACCCTGTCCCTAGGCCCACAGACAGCTCTGAGAGCTGGGGATGCAGCTCAGGTATGTCACTGTTCTGGGAACTTCAAGTGCTGTAGCAGCCTAGGGATGGTCACTTCAGTACCTGGAGGTAAGGTGCGCCGTGTTCAGTTTTGTGTCCCAGTCCCCCTGCTGTTGGCCCGGCTGAGATATGCGTCTTGCTTGCTTTCTGTAGTTGATGTCCTTCCCACCACTGCCCAGCCCACCAAGAAGTCCACTCCTAAGAAGATAAGATGCCGGCCCCCAAGCCCGGTGACGCGCAAGGGTGAGTTCTCCGGTCCCTGTGGACTCTCAGAGGCACAGCGACACTGTCTCTCTCTGACTTCCTTCCTTCCTTCCCTTCCTTCCTTTCTTCCGAGAGTCCTTCCCAAGCTCACACTCTTGAGCCTGTTTCTCTGGCCCCGAGCTGGAGTCCGAGGGGGAAATGTGCTACCCTCCCATAGCTCACAGTCTGGTAGGGACACACTCGCCGGTCGTCACAGGATGAAACTAGTGAACGCTACGTCCACCCCAGACCTGCACACACATTTTCCTGGCAGCGTGATTCACAAGTAGAAACGACTCAAATGTCCGCCAACTGATGAATGAATTAACGAAATGAGGAATAACCATGCGGTGGAATGTTGTTCGGGCATAATCAAGAATTAAGTACTAATACATGCTACAACATGGGCGAATCTTAAAAATACGACGCAGTGGACACAGCCAGTTACAAAAGGCCATGTATTATATGATCTCGTTGATATGGAAAGTCCAAAATGTGACATTCACAGAGACAGAGAGTGGAGTGGCAGCTGCCTGGGGCTGGGGCACTCAGCCTCATTAAAAGTTACTGGGGGAGGAGTGAGGAGCGACTGCTAGTAGGTACAGGATCTCTTGTGGGGAGAGAAAATGTTTTAAAATTAGATTGTGGCAATGGTTGCACATTTCTGCGAATTTAGCAAAAAACATGAAATTACACACTTGGAACAGGTGAACTTTAGAATATGTAAATTATATCTCAATAAAGGTATAACAAACAAACAAAAACCCAATCCAAAGGACTAGAACTTTAAACTTTCCCACTTTTGATGCTTAACAGAGGATCTAATACACAGCATGTGCTTTATAGATGTTTGCTAATGAGTGAACAAGCTCACCGCTCTGTCCTGTAAGCATCAGACACTGCAGCTGGAGTACACGCACGCACGCACATGCACACACACATATACACATGTGCACACACACACATGCATGCACACACACACGCACACACACACATACAAACACACTCACACTTTTCTTGAATCCATAAGCCAAATGTGTTTCTGGAAAAATACTGATCTCTGTTCCCCAAAAGTTTCTGGTGACGAATAGAAAGTACCATCTGCTCTAACCCATAGAACAAACCACAAGCAGCCACACCAGGCCACCTCATACTGCTGGGTTGCTTTGTCTTAAATATATATAAAGTACCAGGAGAAGTCTGGGAGAGGCATCTAACGGGACCTGGGGGATGGGAGTGAGGCGCTGTCCCACGAGGTCACAGTGAAAAGAACATCCGAATCCATGTATAGAGAGCAACATCTTAGGGAACATAAAGGTGGAGACAGAGTGACTTCACTTAATAAAGTTTATGCCCCACAACGCCACCTAAAGGATTCCAGGCAGCGTACAACAAAAAAGGAAACGGAAAATACAACAGAGCCATGAAGATGAGGACACATGCACTGGGTCTGTGCCATGCGCTGAAGGAGCCAGCAAAGCCAGTTCAAGCAGAGGGAGCCCTGGCCGGTTCGGCTCAGCAGTTAGAGCGTCAGCCCACCGACCAATGAGTCACAGGTTCATTTCTGGCCAAGGGCGTGGACCTCAGTTGCAGTTCGTCCCCGGCCCTGGTCCTGGTCATGCGGGAGGCAACCAGTCGATTTGTCTCTCTCATATCAATGTTTCTCTCTCTCTCCCTTTCTCTCCCTCTCTCTCTCTTCCACTCTATCTGAAGATAAATAGAAAAATATCATTGGGTGAGGATTAAAACAAAAAACAGAGGGAAGACAGCCCTGGCCAAGTGGCCCGGTTGGTTGGAGCATTATCCCCTACACTGAAAGGTTGCAGGTTCAATTCCTGGTGACACTGCCACAGTGATAGAAAGACACAACCCTGCACATCAGAGCCTTCATCTGGCCTTAGATTCTAGAAGAAATCTGCTTTGTTCATCCTTGCGTGAGGACTGCTGAATGACAGTGAGTTCAGCAACACTTTTATAAATGATGGAAGAAAAGTCTTCAAATTTCTTCCATCATTTCTAATATTAATCCTAGTAAAATACTGGGGCAAAGTGCAAACCCGACGTTAGCAGGTTCTGTAGAATAAATAGGTGGCCAAGTGGCGTGCAGGGGAGGCGGCAGGTGGTGGTTGCACTTGGGGTGAGGGCCATGGAGCGGTGTAACCTAGTAGTAAGTCAGCCAGCCTTGTTGGAATCCCTGTCTGCCACTGCCTGTACTGTGCAACCTTAGGCAGATGATTCAGCCTCTCTGAACCTCAGTTTCCTCATCTGTCAAATGGGGATGTTTACCTGGCTAAAGGGAAGGAGGATGAAATGAGAGGCTATGCACAGGAGTTCAGCTTGGCAGGGCCCCAAGACAGAGCTTAAAGCTTGTGATCGTGAATAAAACCCTCACGGCCACCTTGGAAAGGGATCTGCTTTCAAAGGCTTAGAGCTGTCCTTTGGGAGACACTGGGAGGTCCTGGGGGACAATTTCTAAGCCACTGTCTCAGGAGAAAGGGGGTGAGATTCAGACCTCAGGAGACCCCAGTGAGGTGAGGAAGCCGAGCTGCCTGTCACGGGTGTGACTGTGGCCACTGGCTCCCTGCCCAAGCAGGCTTTTGAACACTTCATTGGAAGCAACAGCTGTCCCTGGAGTGCCGTTTGGGGCAGGTGGCCATGCTGCACCGCGGGCCTCCAGCTGCACTGCTGGCCTCCAGCAGCTGGGACCACCCTTCAGGAAGCCTCCCTGCCCACCCCTCTGCGAAAGGAGACCTTCCTGCTCTGCACGACCCTGCAGCCGTCACCCACTTCTTGCTTTTTATCTTTTTTTTTTTTATCCTCACCCAAGGACATTTTTCCATTTTCTGTACAGATAGAGTGGGACGGAGAGAGAGGAAGAGAGAGAGAGAGAGAGAGAGAGAGAGAGAGAGAGAGAAACATTAACGTGAAACGGACACATCGAGTGGCTGCCACCCGCACGACCAACCAGTGTGGGGACAAACTGCAACCAAAGTACATGCCCTTAGCGGGAACCGAACCTGGGTCTCTCCGAACCGCAGGCCGATGCTCTAACCGCTGAGCCAAACCGGCCAGGGCCACTTCTTGCTTTTTAAAAAATTACCACTTTGTTAAGGTATAATTTGCATGTGATAAAATTCACCCATTTTAAACATGTAGCTCAACGATTTTTAATAAATTTACCAAGTTACGCACCCGTCACCACCATCTCGTTTTAGAACATTTCCATCACCCCTAAAAGATCCTTTATACTTGTTTACCGCTAGTTTCTGTTCCCACGCCAGCCCTTGGCGACCGAAATGCACTTCAGATGTTCTGTCTCTGTGGATTTGAAGAGACGTTTCGTACAAATAGAATCATGCAATACATGGTCTTTTATGCCTGGCTCCTTTCACTTAGCATCATGTCTTTGAGGGTCATCCAGGTTGGGAGAATGTGGAGGAGGTGAGAGGGGGGCAGATAGAAACTCTTGCATCTCAGAGGTGGGAAGGACTTTCGAGGACCTCTACCCAACCTTCCCCCCACCCGTGGGGAAACTCCCCTCCACATCGCAACATCCAGCCTTGGCGCTGGCGGGCTGTCTCCACGGAGGGCCCGCTCCACTCCCCCACTGCCTCTCAGGCCCTCGAGTTGTTGCTCTGGGACCTGTAGTCGCTCTAGAACCTGGAGGACCTGGGTTCATACCCTGGTAGCTGGGTGACCTTGGGCGTGTAACTTAGTAGCTGGGTGACCTGGGGCATGTAACTTAACCTCTCTGAATCTTGGTTTTTCTGAACTCTCAAAAGAGAGATTAAAATGATAGTAATACCTTCCTTCCTCACCAGATGGAATTTTGTAGTTAGCATTATACTTGGCACATAATAGGTGTTTGGTAAAAATTCTCTCCCTTCCCTGAAATCCAGAACTCTTTCTAATTCTTTCGTCTGCAATCCCTTGCCCTTTTTACCCATGAGTCCTGGTTCTGCTGCTCACAGGGACCAACTGTAGGGGCATGAGGGGTGCCAGGGAAGGATTTGGGGCATTGATAATATATACTTAACTGTTTAAATAGCATACAAAATGGGCAAAGGATCGAATAGGCAACTCAGGAGAAAAAGAGGTGGCCAATGTGTGAACATTACTGAAGCTGTAATCAGAGAAATGAAGTAAAATATTTTTCACCCACTGGACTGACAAAGACTAAAATCTTTGATAATATCAAGTATCAGCGGGGTGTGCAATTGATGGTTGGGAATGGAGATCAGGGTAGCCTGTTCAGAAGGCATTTGACAATTTAAAATGGATATACTCTATGGTTCATTAGGTCCTGTTTCCAGTGTCGGGTCAGGCAGGTTCCTGCATATGAAGAAACCTACGAGAATGTTCCCTGTAGTTATTTACACAACACAGGCAACAAACAGAATGCCCACTGATGGCAAAATAATCCCTGCTGCATCCACACTTCAGCGGTCACTCTGCTGGGAGAAGAGTGAGCTGACACGTTCAAGTAAAGAAAAAAATGCCTGCCCGGCCGGTGTGGCTCAGTGGTTGAGCATTGACCCATGCACCAAGAGGTCGCCAGTTCGATTCCCGGTCAGGGCACATGCCCAGGCTGTGGGCCAAATCCCCAGTGGGGGACGTGCAGGAGGCGGCCAGTCGATGTTCTCTCTCATCAATGTCTCTCTCTCTCTCTAAAAAAATCAATACAGAAAATAAAAAAAGAAAAGAAAAACTGGCTGCTGAACAACGTGTACACTTTGAGCCACTCCACTGTCTAAAAGAACGTGTGTGTCTATGTAAACTATGTGAAAATGCAAAAACAAAGGTACCAAACTCACAACGGCGTCAAGGATGGCAACGATTCAAAAGATCCTTGACTCTTTCACCAGGGAAACATAGTCAGCTATTTCTTATGAAATTAAAATAAAAGTTTTTAGAATGGCCAAAATCCCGTTATTATCAGCCATTAAAATGGTCTATTTTCTTTGAACATAAATAGATCCTGAGTTTAATTCATTACTTTTTAATCTGGTTACATATAAAATTCTGTTAATGTATTTAAAGTGCCTAGAAAAGAGGTCTAGAGGAAAATACGTAGACAGTGGTATTCTCTGGGAGGTGGGCTTTCAGTTTATTTTCCCCTCGTTGTATTTATCTGGGTGTCTCGGACACGTAATATCTATGTCTTCCAGATTCGCTCTGTGCCCCCCTGACCCTCGGCCTGCTGGCGGCCGGAGTCCTGATTCTGCTGGTGTCCTTGGCTGTGGCCATTCACCTGTACTGTAAGTTGTCCCCTCTTGGGTCGGCATGGTGACCCTTTCTGCTGTTGGAAGTGTGCCTGAGGGTCCTTCCGTCTCTAGGGGAGCAGGGCAGATGGGAGCCTGCTGGAAGTTTGCTCAATGAGAGTCCGAGCAGTTCCAGAGGTTATGCTGGGTCTGGCCACGCGGCAGGCGGCAGAGACCTGTCTGGAGTCAGACAAACCTGAGTTTGGATCCAACGCTGCCCCTCCCTGACCTAGCGGCCGTGGGTGTGCGCCCTGGCCTCTCTGAGCCTCCCAGGGGCACGCAGGGGCAATATCACCTGCCCCCCGGGCCTCGACTGTTTGTAAAGTCCTGCCCAAGGTGCCCAGCTGGGGTCTGTGCTTGGAAAGGGACACTCCTGCAGGCAGTGGGGACGGAAGCGGCACAGCGAAGGCATTGGAGTGGGGTTTGGGTTATGTTCCCAGAAACTAGAAATCCTCCCGAGGCCGCAGGGAAACTCGGAGATGGCTGCTCTTGGCCGCTCTGGAGATAGAATCAACTCCTGTGCCCCTCCCTTCACCCCCTCCCCCCTCCACACAGGGGGGACAGCCCAGAGCCCCAGCTCACCTGTGCCGCCTCAAGCAAGTCACTTACCCTTTCTGGGCTTCTGTAAAGGGGGAGGGGGTGGCCTGCAGGGGCATGGACCAGAACAGTGGTTCTTTCATAGGTCACAGACTCTTTTGAACATGTGATGGTCGTTAGGGCCTTCTCCCTGGAGAAACGTGTCATGGGCCCCTTTGTGCACACAGCTGCCACCCACTAAGGGATCCATGCACCCCGTTCTAAGAACTCCATTAAAGTTCAGTGGTCTGCAAGCATTTTTGATCAAGGACCCCATTAGTAAAATATTAAAAAACAATAAACACTAACGTCATTTAACTGTCGTTATTTATTTAATATATTATGTATGCATTAAATGTGCTTCAAAAATAAAAGGCCGTGAAGGAGAAAGTAAACTCGTAAATAGCCATGTTCATATTTCCTTCCTTCCTCCCAACGGGAAACCTTGCGTGTCTCCCAAATACACGTGCTGTGGTCCAAGACCACCTGTCTGCACAGCCTCTCACTTCCAACCTGTGTGAAGGGCAAACAGCATGTTGAGGACACACGGACTGGAGTAGGCGCACTGAGTCCGAGTTCTGCCTTCACCACTTACCAGCTGCGTGACCGGGCAGGTGACTCGGTAGCACGCTTGCTAGGTGCCTTTGTTTCCTCACGTGCAAAGGGAGATAAGAGCAGTAGCCGACTCAGGTTTGCCGTGAGCATCAAAACACACGAAGATAAGCAGAGCCTGGCACCAGGGGAGTGGTCCGAGGTGTGGACTGTCCCTCTTTGGGCTCCTTGCGCTCCGGGGCTTAGTGTCACCGTCGGTGCTGACTGATGCTCCTGCTTTCTCCCTGTAGGCCTTCGGAGGAGAGCCCGGCTTCGCTTCATGAAGCAGTAAGTGCTTGGGACCCGTGAGAAGTGCCCTGACACAGCCGTGGGTGTGGCGCTGGCTTCCTCAGCCCTGCTGCCGCTCACAGCCTCCGACTGCAAGGGGCCGAAGCCAGCCGCCGCCTTCGGGAAAAACCACAGGCTGTATCAATCCATGGGGGGATGAGGCTCAGGAGAAGAGATGACCTAGACAAACAGAAGGCCTGATCAGCTGTTTAAGTGTAGCTCAAGGCCTGTGAGATTCAGCTCTCAGCCCCCGTGTCTGGGACATGGCAGACGATCCCAAACTCTTTCTTGCCCATTATTTTATTTAACTTGGTCCTGCGTGGCCTAGGAGGGTTATTTTTATAGACAAGTTGAAAGGCTTGCTCGAAGTGTTTGGGATAGGAAAGAGCAGAATTGGGTTGAATTGAGAGCAGTGGGTTCCCTCGGGGCCGGTGTGGGGTGCTGAGCTGCCATCCTCAGTCCTGTCTGCCCTGGACCCCAGCAGGCTCCCAGCAGCCGGCTCCCATAGACACGGGGGCTAACAAGACCTCGTCCGTTGGTCCCTGAGCTTGGTAAACACAGGCAGAAGCCAAGAGACTGAGAGGCCAGAGGCTGTTAGTTGCTCTCAACCTCAGGGACTTCCAGGCCCCAGCTGGGCCATGGGCAGTGTTCTTGGATTGGTTTTTCTTCCTATCTCCGGACCCATCTCATTAATTACAACCCTCTGCACACAGAGTTGTTTGGAAAAAATAAAGCCCATATGTCTAGATTGAAGAGGGCCACAGGGCCGTGGGCTCAGAGCTCTGGCTCCAGCACGAGGCAGATCTGGGTTCGAATCCTGCCTGCCACTCGTCCACCACGTGACTGTAGGCGAGTCGCTTCACCTCTCTGAGCCTCTGATGCCTCATCTGCAAAATGGGATAACAGTACCAACCTCGTGGCTATTGTGAGAACTTACTGGAGTAAGCACCCACAACGTGCGCGGCCCCTGGTCCCATGGAGTCGAAGCATAAGCTGATGTCACTCAGGAAAGGCAACTCCACGAGCCCAACAACCAAAAAACAAAAATTTTTTTAAAAAATCCTCACTCGAGGATATTTTTTCACTTATTTTCAGGTAGAGTGAGAGGGAAGGAGGGAGGGAGAGAGAGAGAAAGAGAGAGAGAGAGAGAAACACCCATGTGAGAGAGACACACCAACTGGTTGCCTCCCGTATAACCCGGACCAGAGCCAAGAATCAAATCGCAACTGAGGTACATGCCCTTGACAGGAATCTGGTCTGCAGGTGGACGCTCTAACCGCTGAGCCAAACCGGCCAGGGCACAAAGTGTATTTTTAAATACTCTAAAATTATAATGTCCACGTAAGCTCTCCACGTGATTGCTCCACATTATTAGATTTACCATCTTTGTATATATATATAGTTGCTCAAACATGGCTGCTGTATTTTATGAGCACTTTTCAGTGATAATTTTGATTGTGTGCAATTTTCCATTTACGTGCTGGTTTTAGAAATTACCCTCTACCTGGGAGACGGTAACTGAGTGTATTTGTCTAAACCTAGGCCTCTAGAATGTTCTTTTATGGAGAATGAGCCCCCCCGCCCCCGGGAAACTGCCTGTGCTCTGCCCCCCACTCGCCCCTTCATTTTAACTTGCTCCCCAGCGATGTGACACCAGTGTGTGGGGAGCTGGATGCAGGACCTCATGCTTTGGCAAACCCAAGGGTTCAGAGGATCAACTAAGGCAGAGGAGGAGCTGAGGGTGGTCATGGGGGAGGCTCTGAGCACCCCTCACCCTCTGCTCACAGCTCTGGTCTCACCTGTTGCCTGTGGTTGTTACACTTACCTGTGAGACAGTTTGAAAACCACCTCTGGTTGCTGTCATGATCCAGCCGTGGGCCCCACAGATAAGCTGTTCCAAACTCATGTTGCGATTTGGAGCAGACATTAGCAGCCTCTAATTGGTCTTAGAAAACCATCCAATCCGCAGGTGACCTTCCGGTCCCTCTGTGTGTGCATCTGTGAACAGCTTATCTTAGAAGGTACTGCAGGAGGTGACACTATCCAAAGCTACAGTCCTTTGGGCTGCTTTTTTTGAGCTTTAAAAAAAATGTTTTTAATGACTAAAATGGGCCCTAAAAACATACTAACACAAAACTCCTGGCCCCGGGCTACGAACTTAGCGGGGAGCCCTGTATCCTCACTTGCCATTTGTCTCTGTTACAGGAAATTCAGTAGTATTTGCCTGAAAATAAGTGGTTTCACAACTTGCTGTTGTTTTTAGGTTTTATAAATGAGCAGAGAATATGCTTCTGGTGTCCTGCTGCAAAAAAGACGTTGGTCAGGAACGAGTGAGATCTGGGAAAATGAGAGAAGGGACACACTGAATGGAAATTTCACGGACCCGCCAGAGCTGCCTGCTTTCAACCGCTGCAAGTCCCTTCTGCGGCCGCGGGCACGGAGCAACTTGTTGGCTGGTCATCTGGAGCCCGAGAGAGGCTTCAGAGCCCCGGGCACTTCCTGCAACTCAGGGGCACACAGGAGGATTGCGTAAGAAATGCCACCCACACCACTTCCTGCTCCTGCATCGCCCTGGGCTGGGCTGGGACCTTGGGTGTTGGCCCTCCAGCCACCATCTGCAAGTCCTTCTGCCCTGGTAGGGCAGTGACAGAGAGTCCTGAGTCAGGGGACAGTGCTGGCATGGCTTCCCCTTGTTCTTCCCGGCTGGGCTGACTGTCCCCAAGGAAGCTTCCAGGAAGGGCTGACCTGGCTGTCACAGCGCATCAATGCTGGAGGTCCTTTCCCTTCAGAATATTCCTTGGCTTTTGTGTGTGTGTGTGTGTGTGTGGTACGTGCCCCTAGCAGGAACCGAACCCGGGACTCTCTGGTCCGCAGGCCGACGCTCAACCGCTGAGCCAAACTGGCCAGGGCGAAAATTCCTTGGCTTTTAATTCCGCCTTCTAACAGCTTGTTTATTTCTTCTCTCGCTTTCTGTTCCTTTTATAAAAATGTCTTGGTTGTAAAAATAAAGTCCTGAGTTAAAAATGCAAATGGCTCGCATGATGGAAAAGCACAAAAGCCCACCTATCTGGTAGAAATGTTGGTGCTCAGTTGAAAAGTAATAAGGATAAAGGTGTGTCCTCTTTTCCCCCACGGCATGTGGCAGTCCGTGCTGTGGATGCAGAGGACCCCGAGAGGCTGCTGAGCCAGGGCCCCGGAGCCAGGCAGCAGGTGCGCAGGGCCGAGGTGCTCTGGCCCACTCCCAAGCTGCCTGCACTAGTTCCTGTTCCTTTCTGTTGAGGGTGGACTCCCAAAGACTCCTGGCACCAAAGAGAAGGTGAGAGGCATCAAGGTCCCTGTCACATGTCCATCAATTTCTTTTTTTTTTTTTTTGGTACGTGCCCCTAGCGCCGTACCCAGCACTCTGGTCCACAGGCGGACTCCCACCGCTGAGCCAAACCAGCCAGGGCTCCATCAATTTCCTTTACTGCCTCTTAGCTTCAATGGTCAGAGAAGAAAACTCTGGGGAGAAAAGGCTGAACTGGAGAGGGGAGTCAGAATGAAGATCTCATGCCCTTTGAAAAAGTCCAGGGATCCCGCCTTCGCCCCCGCCCTGGGCCTTAGCAGTGCAAGAGATACTGAGCCCAAGAAGAACGAAACCTCAACCCGCATTTACAGAAGCGCCACACCCAGGTCCAATGAGAAGAGAGTCCCCTAATTTCCCGCCCAGCCCTGGACTGGGAGGTGCAATTTAAGAAGGGCACTGGCAAACCAGGCTCTGTTCAGGGGCCTCTGGCAGCCACAGAGTGCGAGGAAGGGACAGCGGGACCGTCCCGTCGTCTGAGATGCCTGCTGCCTGTGGGTTGGTGGGAGTCAGAAGGGCGTAGATGCGGGAGGTGCTCAAGAGAAGCAAACACTTTCTACCTATTAGCTTCCTGGGCAACAGGACGAGCTGCCTCCCAAGGCTGGGGGGAGGGGAAAGAGCCAGGATCTCCTGGACCAGACTGTTCCAGGGTTCACTTTTAAGATGGGTTCCTTGCTCAGAGATGTCCGACGCAAATGATAAGAGAAGAAGGCCCAGATGGGCAGACTGCCCTCCCCAAGGGCTCACACCCCGTCCACCGCGGAATAAAAACGGGCCCCAAGGGCCCTCGGCTCACTGCAGGCTCTGCCGTCTAACAGGGCCTCGCCGCTGCTGTCTTTGGGATTGTGTTTAGTTCTTTGCAAGTTCTCAGAGAAGGGGGGCAAGAGTGTGGGGATGGGGGTAGGGGTGGTGCGCTCCTTGGTCTGTTTACTGTGCCACAAGCAGGTTCCCCTCTGCTTGGCTCGCCCAGAGAGCAGGCTGGGCTGCCTGCAGCCGGGGCTGCGGTGAGGACGTCTGCACCCAGCACCTGGAGTTTGTTTTAAAGAAGAAACTGAGCTGTTACTTCCTTCTGGAGAGCCATTATGGTAAAATATCAAAAAAAAAATTTATTTTTAATCTTGCTATCTTTTAACTATTGATTCCACTTGTAGGCATTTATCTTTTTTTAAAAAACACACACACATCTCAAAGTTACATGCACAAAAAAACACACATCAAATTGTTTCCTGTAGCCCAGCTGGGGTGGCTCAGTGGTTGAGCGTCGGCCCATGCATCAGGAGGTCACCGGTTTGATTCCCGGTCAGGCCACCTGCCCAGGTTGTGGGCCCGATCCCCCGTGGGGGGCATGCAGGAGGCAGCCAGTGGATGTTCTCGCTCATCAGTGATTTTATCTCTCTCTCCCTCTCGCTTTCTCTCTCTCTCTCAAATCAATAAAGAAAAAATATTTTTAAAAAAATTGATGTCTGTAGTTGGCTTATTAGCCAACATTGGAAAAAATTCCAAATGTCTATCAAAAGGAGCCAGGTAGAGTAATTGTGATAGAGGCTTAGCAGGCTGCTCCGGGGGGCCAGAGCCATCCACGCTGGCGTGACACGATGGCTGTATATCTGCGTATATTCTAACCACTTCTGCACTCATCATCCTCGTTTCCAATCCAACACATGCTTAAAAGTCAAGCAGAGATGAAAACGGGCAAAAGCAGTGTGCATTCGAAGTCCAGATACGGTTACCTTGGTGCAGGGCGATCGTCACAAGGCAGTGCAAGTTTGGGGTTTTGGCACGTTCTGCTTCTCCATCTGGGAGCTGGTCAGTTTATGAAAATTCATTGCGCTGCACACTCAGGATATGTCGACTTTCAAATACAGATATGAGTATAGATATAGATTATACTTTAATAAAGAGGTATTTTGCTCTGGCCGGTTTGGCTCAGCAGTTAGAATGTCGGCCTGCAGACCAAAGAGTTGAGAGTTTGATTCTGGTCAAGGGCATGTACCTCGGTTTCAGTTCAGTCCCAGCCCTGGTCAGACTCATGTGGGAGGCAACCAATCGATGTGTCTCTCTCACGTCAATGTTTCCCTCTCTCTCTCTCTCTTCCTCTCACTCTATCTGAAGAAAATGGAAAAATATCCTCAGGTCAGGATTTAAAATAAATAAACAAACAGGTATTTTAAAATTCAAGTACAGAAGGTTACAGAAATGTGTGAACTCGGTATTTAAAAGCTTCTCACTCTTCCATGTCATTTCTGCATACACTTTTTTAACCAGAACATCGCAATCTTATCAAATATAATCTATAATTTATTAGATATAGAACAGAAAATTAAATTTTACAATATTGTGCTGCAAATTTAATTTTTTTCTCTAATATATCAAGGTCTGTGGATATACTTGCTTATATATGTGTAGAAGAAGAAAAGATATATCTTAGTTGTTCATGGCAGTTATTCTGGGGAATTTCCATTTCTGAGTTCTTCATTTTAGTGTCGTATGGATTTTTACAACCATCATGTATTACTTTTGCATTTGGAGGGGAGAAAACCAAAAGTTTGAAAAACTTAAGCCACAGCCTAATTTTATTTTATTTTAAAATATGGACCACTTCGCCCGGGTGGCGTGGCTCAGTGGTTGAGTGTCAGGCCACGCACCAAGAGGTTGCTGGTTCCATTCCCCATCAGGGCACATGCCCAGGTTGTGGGCCCGATCCCCAGTTGGGGGCATGCGGGAGGCGACCAATCGATGTTCTCTCTCATCAATGTTTCTATCTCTCTCTCCCTCTCCCTTCCACTTTCTCTAAAGTCAATAAAGAAAAAAAAAAACTTAAAACAAATAAAAATAAAATATAGAACGCTTCATGAATTTGCCTGTCATCCTTGCCCCGGGGGCTATGCTAATAATCTTCTCTGCATTGCTCCAACTTTACATGCTGCCAAAGTGAGCATGAAACAGCCTCTTTTAAAAGAGGCTCTGATCATTGTAATATTAAAAAATTGGAATCAGCTTAAACATCTGTCAATGGGAGACTTGTTCATAAATTGTGATTCTTTAAAAATGAGTGCGATGGAAACATGTGATGCATGCTGCGGCGGCCGGACAGCAGGGCCTAGCTACTGGCTGGTGACCTTGGGCAAGCTGGTAACCCCGTGCGCCTCAGTGCTCTCCTGTGAAATGGGAGCCCAGTAACCTCTCCCTCTTGGTCTTGCCCTGCGCCTGGGATGACTGTAGACAGGAAGGTCTGGGAGCTTTGCAGCCCACACGGGGCTGGGGATCACTTTCTGAAAACTTTCCTCCCCTCCCTCCCTCTCACTGAAGCTGAAGCGTTCTGGGCAGCAGCCTGCAGCTGTGGTCCCCGCAGGGCCATGTTCAAAGGAGGAAGGGGGCTCCGACACCACCCTTCACCTTTCATCCTTGCTCATCCCCACCCCCGCCGCAACAGCTTGTGTCTCTACTGTAGGAAGTGGGCAACTTGTTTTCAGAAAGTGATCCCCAGCCCTGTGTGGGCTGCAAAGTTGATCTGAATCCACCACCTAGTCAAAAAGAAAGAGGGAGAGAGCCCTGTTTTCAGAGGCCTTTCCAGGCGTGGAGGGTGAGAGATATTTCTTCTGTCACTTCTTGGGAAACCTCCTCAGATGCGTCACTTTTTGGTGACCATGAGTCACTGGTTCCTAGACTCTTCCTGGCTCTACACCTCGGTGCACTGACTCAAACAGAAGGAAACCGTAGTCCCCAGTACCACATCAGCTGGGGACGCTCAGAAATGTGCACGACGGTGAGCACGGAGTGCCAGGGGCTTCTGTATCCCCGCCCAGTGGCGCTGGCTGTCCGGACTCCATGTTTCCACAAATTCTGCCTTTTACATGCGAGTGCTCGTTTTCAAGTTTAGCTTAGGCTTCTGAATTTGAATGGAAGCTGTCTACATTTCTTTCATATATTTTTATTATTTATTTTTAAATATGTTTTTATCGATTTTAGAGAGGAAGGAAGAGGGGGAGAAAGAGGGAGAAAGAGAGAGAAACATCTGTTGGCTGCCTCCAGCACGCACCCCTAACGGGGATCAAACCTGAAGCCTGGGCATGTGCCCTGACTGGGAATCGAACCTGAGACTTTTCAGTGCATGAGACATGACACTCAACCAACTGAGCCACACCGGCCAAGGCTCTTTCCTATCTTTTCTTTTAAAAATATTTTTTCTTTATTGATTTTAGAGAGAGAGGAAATGAGAGGGAGAGAGATAGAAACATCGATGAGAGAGAACATCGACTGGCCACCTCCTGCGTGCCCCGCACTGGGCATCAGGCCCACAACCTGGGCCTGGGCCCTGACCGGGAATCCAACCAGGGACCTCTTGGTGCATGGGTGGATGCTCAACCACTGAGCCACACCGGCCGGGCTCTTTCCTGTCTTTTAATTGTGGACCATCTGCATTCTGTCCTCTTCATGAGTGAACAACTCACCCTGCCCCTTGTTCTGTAGTTAGTGTTCCTATTCCTTCAGCTTCTTGCTGCCAATTCAAATATAATTATTTGGAACACCTTCTCTGTGCCCAGCATGTCCTGTGCCAGGACTAGGGGTGGCCAGGACAGACACAACCTCCAGGGCTCATGTTTTGCTCATCTCATTTAACAAAGAGGCTTCCAGCCTTCAGTTCTCCCCTTACCAGCCATCTCCTGGGGGCACCAAGGCCTGTGGGGCTGTCTTGCAACCTCTGACTTGGGGCCGGAATCTAAGTAAATAAATAAAGGCAGCAGAAGGCTGGTCAGGAGGTCCTCTGGCCCCACAGTCAGGCTCTGCTCCAGGGAGCTGGGACCACTGCCCTCCCTCCACGCCCCCTCGGCGCCTTGCCTGCTGGCATCCTGGCCCAGCCTTTCTGGGCTCCTGAGGACTCCAATTCCCCACACTTCTGGAGGTTTAGTCTGCCGAGCACAGTCGACGGACACCTTAGAGAACACAAGCTCCACAGACTAGATATCAATTGAGCACCTCCTGTGTTCTCACAGCTACACGTGAGCATATGCAGACAGTGTCCCAACCCCGTGCCCTTGGCACCTCACTTGCCCCACCTTAGTGCCAGTCATGGGCAGACAATAAACACGTGGGTCGGCAAATATCCCGATGATGCTAATAAAGGCAGGGGGCATGAACTGCCTTCTCAAAAAAACCTGTGTTGTGCGAATAGAAGAGTCTGCAGCCTCTCACAGGAGTTTGTGGAGGTCTCTGTGGTTGAATGGGGGCCAGGTTAAGAGGGGGAAGATTTGAAGTGTTGGTGGGGAGGCGGAGGCCCACCTTCCCCAACACACCCTTCCTTGTGCCCCTTCAGCATCCTGTGAGCTAAAAGCTGGCGAGACTTGCTGGCTGGGGAGGACCAGGCCATGAAAAAGGGAGGCCCTGACCCTTGTTCCTCCACTCTCACCCAACTCCAGGCCTCAGCCAAGCTCGAAGGGGGGCCTGGGGAGCAAAGAACAATGGGAGACGCGGCCAGCACAAAAATGAGACCAGCTGGCGGTCACTGAGCTTCTGGGTGGGCAGGGCCGGAGAAGGTGGAGTTTGAGGCGTCCCTTCTATCCCATCACCTTCCCTAAGAGGATGCTTTGGTTTCGGGAAGGGGGGGAAAGGTGAATACACAAGAAAAGCAGGCCTCACAGAAGTCCTTTCCCAGTCCAGGCAAAGCCCACCTCCCCAGAAATGCAGAATGCCACCTCCGGCAGGCAGCCGTGTTGTGGGGGTTGGAGGAGGCGACAGGAAAGGTGAAAACCAGTCCTTGCTGTAATGGTTTCCCACGCCTTCCTCTCGCACGACTCTGCCAGCCTCCCCAGCACATGGAAGTTTGACCCCTCCCGCAGGTCGAGCAACGAGGACTCTAGAGGGGGAGTGAGGATGAGGAGGGACAAGGGACACGAGAAAAGGAGACAAGACAGGGTTCTGATCAAGTCTCGTTTATTCTGGGGAGATCCACACAATATATAGGGCAAGAAGCAGAAAAACAAGATCATTTGTTGCCAAGCGATAAGTTATTGAGTAACCACCCCGAAGCAATTTCAAGTAAATATCACGGGTGGAACAAAAAATCAGCAAAGTCTGGCTTGTTGGGTAAATGGTTCAAAATGCAGAGATAAAGCAGAGATATCCTGCCTTGGGGCAGGAGATGGCAGAGCAGATTTTAACAAAATGGATGCCATGCAAAGTCTCCCACAGAAGTTTATCAATGGGGAGAGAATACTACTATTGGAATGTTATCCACCAGAGTGAGTGTGCTCCTGTGTGCCATGCGGGGGGCGGGGGCGGGATGTTTGCCTTGGAAACGACTCCTGATTATTGTGACACACAAGGACTTGCAGAGGACAGCTGTCCCCTAGTTGAGCCTTGTCACACCCTGCTGATGTTAACTCAGAATCGCTGCACCCTCTTCCCTGCCTTGTGTTTAGGGTCCAGACTAAATTAAGACCCTTGAGTGTGTCTGCACATTTGAGAGGAAAGTCGATTCACATGTTCTTCATGCCCTACCATGACCTCTACACCAATCTCACCTTCGTAGAATGAGTGTGACTCAGGCAAGATTATGAATACATTTTCTAGAAAAATGCAAGTTTGTCATTTGCATAGAAATGTCACTGGGTGGGTGAAAATGTGAGAGTGATATCACTTACTGCTGGAGAGGACATGGGCAAGGGCACCCATGGGGGTTGTGACGAAGCTCAGAGACACGACAGCCTCTTGGGAAACCGTGTGGCAATCCTACGCATCACGTACTCTGACACAAAGCACATGTTCTGCCTCAGCACTCCTGGGAATATGTCTCCGGGAAGGCAAACGGGTCGTTACCTAAGAATAAATGTACAAAGATGATTACTTCTATTTCATATTTGGGGGCAAGATAAAAACTGGAAACAACCCTAAGTTCATCAATAGGGAGTCCTAAATAGTGATCTATCTACACCTGATGTATCACGCAGCCAGAGAAAGAGTGATTTAAAAGAAGGATTTGGTGGAATTGCAGGAATGCTGAGGGAGGAAACGCAGGGTGCCAGGAAGTATCGAAAGGGTGATTCTCTTTTTGTAAAGCAAATAATCACCTGCAGAAAACGCTATTCATGTCTCTAGCTGAGCATGTCTGACTGTGAAGAGGCAAATGCCTGACTACCAGCACCAGGCAGGAATGTCAAAAACAAACGTTCCCTGGAAAAGGAACTAGTTTCACTTAAGTACTGAGAGATTAAAATTAAAATGTTTCTCCTTCGCCCAGCCGATATGGCTCAGTGGTTGAGCGTCGACCCATGCACCAAGAGGTCACCAGTTCGATTCCCGCTCAGGGCACATGCCTGGGTTGTGGGCCCGATCCCCAGTGGGGGGCATGCAGGAGGCGGCGAATCTATGTTCTCTCTCTTCTATGTTTCCATCTCTCTCTCCCTCTCCCTTCCTCTGTCTCTAATGTATCAATAAAAGAAAGAAAAAGTTTTTTTAAATGTTTCTCCTTTTATTTTATGATTAAGTTGACTGTGAAAACACAATTTTACAATACATCAGAAAGCACCTAAGAATCAATTTAATTAGGAAAGATAGTCAATAATAGTGCTATAACTGTGCACGGTGCCAGGTGGATTATTACAGTAGCTAAACATATTAGTAGTTTTTACATTTAAATTGGTGGCATTTCGAGCTTAAGCAACCATGAAAGTATTGACTTATTGAGGTGGGACTCTACGGATTTTTTTTCCTAAAAGTTTGAGGACAAGACCTCCTCCCCAAACTCCTAGTTCTCAATTTCTTACCAGGGGCCCAGAACTGGGCTGACTTCTCAAAGGGTCAGGATCGCTGAGGCTAATCCTCCTGTGGCCCCCGGACCGGGGTTTCCCTCAAGCATCTCCCCAGTTTTGTCACTGGTTGGCCGTGTTCTGCATTCCGGGCTCCTGCCGCCCCGACAGGACATCTGCTTTCCCATCCTC